TCTGCTAAATGACTAAATGTAAAATGTAAAATGTAAAGAACTATGCATTTGACTGTCAACAAAAGATTTGGAGAATGAGCATGCGTTTGAGCTGTTAAATCACATACCAAAACATGAGCATCTTTATCAAGACATGCCATCATCGATTCTTTGAATATCATGCATTCAGCTAATGAAATGCACTGTATGAGCATCCACAGAAGGCGATGGTTTTGCCAAGCAAACAAATGCATTTTCTTTCATCAAGAATGCGATTTTAAGCAGAACTGTGCTTTGAGATGTTGGCGTAGGCGCTTTAATGCTGTTTCCCTGCAGGGCTCTGGTCTCACAGATGGCTTTGGGTTGGGGGGAAGGTATTATGTGATCTGCAGGGGAATTGAAAAGAAGACCAGAGGCTGCGGTGGCTCGATGAATTATTGATAGGAATCTCTGCGTGACCCTCAGCTCAACGCACAAAACGTCACCTTGTCTTGGGTTAAACAGGCAGAGATGTGCAGCCCGGCACCTGCCTTTTGTTCCGCGTTTTGGAGAAAGAATGTGAAAGAGACACAAACAGTGAAGCTAAAATAGAGGAGTTGCACGTCCGTGACATCAGAAACGTCTGACTCAGAGAGAATCACTCACGTTTTGTTTTCATGCTTGAATTTCATGCATGTAAATGTTGACTCAGAGCTGGAATCTTAACCCCTTGTAAAACCTTTATTTTGTATCTCAGCGACGCCACAGAGGAACTGTTTTTGCTTCCCTAAAGAACCTTTAGTTCTTAAAAGAATTGTTTTTTCTTAGTGTGAAGTACATTTAAAATTTTTAAAGAACCTTTAGATTTTCTCAAATGAAAAATTCCATGGATTTAAAATCCATTAGTGCCAGTACAAAAATCTACATTTTTTTAGCTAAATGTGTTAATTTATGCACTTTATTCAGCATAATATAATGCTGAACTGACTTTAGACTCACATACTTAGAAATTAATTTAATATAGGCCTACAGTGGGGTCCAAAAATCACCAAATATATATGATCTGATAATATTCTATTTAACAGTATTTAAACTGCATATAAACAAAGCCTTGTGGAACATTTCATACATATAGTAGTTATGGTGATAAGTAATATTTCTGATTGTACACTATTTTTAGGTGACTAATGTAAGTAATAAGTGTGCAGACGGACAGATTTTCTTGCTTTGACTGAAGACGCTGTTTGTTCTTAAATTATGATCTTCAGGTTTTGCACTTTTAGAGTACAACTTGACATTAAAGTCATTTAATTAAATGTTTTACTTAAGTTGTTACGCTGATAATGTCATTTAGAATGACTGATTTAAATAAAAAAATAAAAAGGGTTTCTAAACCTTTTTGTATACTCATACTTGAAGGTATACATACATATTTAATGACTTATTCGTCGTCTTTAAGCATAGCGGTGCTGGTGCCTGATGTCACAGGAGAAAACGAGCCTGTCTTTGCACTATTAATTTAGTCAAATCAAACGTGATGTCTGACTGGACCTCATTCCAGTCACACGGTGCAGGCAATCAGCCATCGAGACGAACCTCGGCCTGTGCCATCCGCCACAGACAAACAACTTTATTAAGTAAATGATCAAAGGGGACAAGCGCTGTTATACGAATCAGGACAGAGGAGATTGAAAAAGAGCCAGTGCTGGAGGAACACGGGGTCCCGGCCCGTAAATAAGAGCACTGGAGATGGATAAATATACCATCAACCCATGCCAGACCGCATTCTGAGAGACGTCTCTTCTGATTTGGGCTTCTGCAATGACTACTTCACTTTCCAATTGAAGACGGACAGGGCAGGACAGGGAAGATATGAAATGTCTTTAGATAAACAATGGGGTCTGAAAGTCTGAGAGCACATGCATTTTTGTAATTTTTAATACAAATTGTTTATTTACAAAATATATTGACAGAAAACAATCTGAGAGAAAAGTTGGAAAAAACATGGAAAAATGTTCTCCATCACGTAAGAGCATCTTGAGCATCTTTAGGAAATCTGACCATCTGTACAAGAGTCACATGATCAGCGATACACATTTACTGACATTTGATCCTTCTTTATAACGTTGTTGAGTTTATAAAGAAGTAAAACTGTAGTAATGCATTTTTTTGCATCCAAAAGCTATTTATTTCCAGGTTTGCATGAAAAAATCCTAGATTGTCGATGAAGTCTCGGACATTTGGACACCAGTGCATATTTTTATTTAATTCCAGTTTTGCATATAAAAAATCACAAATTTTAATTGTGGTCTCAGACATTTGGACACCATCGTAGATGATTATTTATTTCCAGGTTTGCATGAGAAAAAAAGACAAATTTGGACACCAATGTATATTTTTATTTCTTTCAACATTTGCATAAAAAAATAAAAATGTTCAATATGGTCTCAGATATTTGGACGCCACTGTATATTTAGATTTATTTTCATGTTTGCATAAAAAAATACTAAATTTTCAGTGTGGTCTGTGCCATTTGGACACCATTGTAAAATATTATTTATTTCCACATTTGCATGAAAAAATACTAAATTTTCAACATCATATATTTGGACAGCACTGTACTGTATATTACAGAAGTGGTCGGCCGATATGGGTTTTTAATGTTCAATGCGATACCGATATCTAGAGAACATGTTGGCCGATGATAATGTCAGTGACAATGCAGATGTATATGCAAATTTAAATCCTTGTGAAATTAGACATTTTATTGCATAATATGAAATTCTCTGGAAAATAGCAATTGCACACTATCAATTTTGTAGTGCTTAGTAGACTCCAAATGACCTGGCCTGGCCGATATATCGGTCAGTGACTAGTTAGAATATCTATATGTATTCTGTTATGATTAGGTTGTGTAATCAGATGTATGAATGACTTTAAGATTTGAATGAAAAATGAAAGCTTATATTCCGATGTATAGTCGTCCTAATCGTATAAAAATTACGACCCGGTTTCAGGCATCATGTTGTCGGTGTGTTGTTTTCTGCACTTGTCAAAGGGCAGAACTAGGACAAAGAGATCAAAATCCCAGGCCAGCTCTGCTGTTTATTTTCGTCCTGTCGTTCGGTAATGTGTGTGAGTTATGTCACTTTCTCAAACAAATATGTGTTGCTGAATGACGGCGGATCGATGCGGGTAATCTTTTAAAGATTAAAAGGGCATTAATGTTGGCAACAATAACATAAACGTGTGCACCCAGTTCGCATTGATCTGGAACCCGATCCGGACTTGTTCCAGTAAAGCTGACGCTGGAAGAACATTCCCAGCAAGCCGACTGACTCCGTGCTAAAAAGACTCCTGGCGGGCTATTCTGAGCCACACTCGCCTTGCTTGTTTAAAAGGATCATTAAAGCTGATGAAGCCGCCCGGATGAGACGCGGAATCAACGCATAACCAAGCGTAGATGTTTTCCAGAGGATTTTAGCAGGATGTTTAATCAATCTGGCTCTGTGTGGAGAAGGCCGGCTTTAAAAGGATGCGCTTGGTGACCTTCACACAAAGACCAGGCGAAGCGTGCGTCTCGCGGATCCAGATAATTATAATGGCTTTGCGGTGCTTTGAGGGACCTTTTAGTGATGAGATTCTCTCCTCAACCCAATAAGTGTGGAACACGGGCCACGAGAGTGAAATAATCCCGGCAGAAATATGATTGGCCAACTGATTTATCAGATAGCCTACTCTTGTTTTTGTGGTCAAGCTGCTTTTCCACAGTCTATTCCAATCTCATGGAAGATGTCCTAGCATCATATTATGAAAAAACAGCATTGCCTGTTATGTTGTTAAGATTATGACACCTTACTTCATTTGTTAACGTTAGTTAACATGAACTAAGAATGAACAATATTTCTGCAGCACTTAATTTAAACATTTATAAGCACTTTTCGTGTTTGTTAACATTAGTTAACGCACTCTGAAATAACACAAACAAAAAGAAAAACTTAGATTAATAAATGTTGTAAAAAATATTGCACACTGTTAGTTCATGCATTAACTATTGTAAAGTTTTACCAATTATGCTTTATTATTCTAGACATTAAATTATCTAAATTAGGTAGACTTTGAATATGTTTAATTGTGCTTCAAACTCACACAGATCTGTATTCTAGAGACATTAATATTCTCTATGGTTTGGTGTTTTTATTTCTATAATTATTTGTTTTTATTTCTATTTATTTCTGTTCTCATGTTTTGCTCTCCGAACAGTTCAGATCATTTGAAAAAGATTTTAATTGTATAAGTCTTACATTTTTGCCACATATTTCCTTTTGTTTTAATCCTGTTTTAATCAGTCCGATGATATTCCGCTGATATACAGTACATTGGGGCTAAAAGTATAAAAATGCTTCTAAATTCTAAATTAATTCAAC